GACGAGCAGAGCAGAGAGGAAAACCCAGAATTTGTGAAGGTTGTCAACATGTAAATAGTTAAATGTAAACAAAGAGCAAAGTGTTAACGTTAGGTTACGAAATGCAACGGCGATAAACAGGTGGAGCACATCTGCTGTTTGGAACGGTGACAAACATTTTATAACTGAACAACCAATTATCATAAATGAATCACCACTTAGTCCCAGTTTGTGTCACAAAACGATGTTCTAAAAAGCCTGGAGGAGGTTTAACAAAACTTAACTTAAGACTCTTTGAACCGTTTTGATCAGAAAACTTTAAGTTTGCTGTGTGACTGAAAACATAAACTACTGGTTTTATTTTCTAGTTCAAAACAAGACGATGTCTTTAAAAGCAGAGAGCTGGAGAGTAGAAATAGTTGAACAACAGGTTGAAGCTCTGTTTTCAGTATGTTGCAGACTAAATGTTTGAGGATGGTGGAAAAGCCTTCAGATATATCTGATTAAATATCTTTTACCTCCGAATGCACACAGGTTTCTGTTTGGTTCTGGATTTAACTGAGTATAAACTCTAAGAGGAGGATTAAACTAACAAAGGGGCAGTTACATAACGAAGTTCCGGCTGAGCAGGACCCTCATTTATTCCACTGTCTCTTCAGTTTTTCTGTGTGAAAGAACAACTTATTTTCCTTTTCACCAGCGTCTAACTCTCCACCATCAATCCCATTCTTGTTCTTTGACAGTAAAAGATTTGTTTTGCAGCACATGCGAGTCTTTTCACCTGCATTTCTTCCTGCAGTGTTTGTCTAACAGCTCCGACGAAGCGGTTTGAGGTTTTAAAGCGAAGCGCTGTGCAAATAACAGGTGCCGGCTAAAAGGCTGCAGATCTCTGCAGGAATCTGCGCCGAGATTCTTGAACTTGAGGGTTGCGGGCTGTCGGACGGAGAAGACGAACGAGGTTTCGGTCGAAGCTCGAGTTTCCAGAATGCTGCGCGTGATTTGATGACCTTCGCGGGGATCCGGAGGGAAGAATTTCTGTTTGGACTGGATTAAGTGTTCAGAGATGCAACAACTGTGATGCACTGATGGTCACGTTGACACCACGATATATATACATGTCCTCTGACGTATGAGAAGGCAACAGAGGGGTTGATTTAAGGCAACCAAACACTTCAGGTGCTGTTTAATTCTGACATATTTCACTTCCATAACACGTCTTCTTTCACAATAATAATAATAAAAAAAACATCCAAAACACTGTCAGATGTTTATTTTTCTACAATTTGTCTATTTGTGATCAAAAAGTTCAATTTTCATACATATGTTTTGTCAAAATCATTTTTTTCTTAAACTCTGAGCCACAAATCTCCACTTCAGCAGCTCCTACATTCAACAAACACGCCCGTTTTATTGATTTTTTTTTGGTTTTTATTTGGAAGGTTCTCACAGAGTCGTCACTTCTCGTATCATTCACAGTTTTTCTGATTTATGGGGCGATAAAAGGAAAACTCCCCTCCGTAAAAACCGTCGACTGCATCACGTCAATAAAACGAAACAAGAATTCTGACGCTGGTTTTACTCAGATGCAAATTAATTCAATTTTAGATATACGAGGCCTCATTTCAAGATAAGAAGTCACTGTGTCATTGTAAGTAATCAGGTTTCTGTTCGTTAAAATGCTGCCTGACTCACCTCCACTGAATCCTATTAAAGGATTATCAGTGAGCTCAAATTGCAAATTAATGCCACTCCTGTTTCTTTTCTTTTGATGCTGAAAGCTTTTATTTACTCAGCAGCTGTGAAACCTTTGCCACAGATTGAAATGTAAACTCAGCGAAGCCCGATATGAGATAAGGAGGCTTTAAGAAACCTGCCTTTGAATGCTGCTGCAGCTAACTACGGATTAGCTTTATTTTAAGTCACTTTTTTTTGTAAATCAATTAATAATTAAGTTATGAAATGTCAACAAAAAGTCATGAAAAATGTTCAAATGTGGAAAGATTAAGGCTTCAATTGTCTCTTTTGCCTGAACTGTGCTGCAAAAACCCCAAAATGTTCAATCCACAGTGAGATAAAACAGAGAAAGACAGACAAGCCTCACCGTTAGACATTGTGCTTGATGAATGATTTAGGCTGGCAGGTCCCAGAAAGATTCAAAAAGCCAAAAATAAATCTGCTTTCCTTTTTTCTCAGGACTTACTGAATATTTCCACCTCTGCATGCCAAGAGGAAAGGTTGCTGTTTGGCTGAATTAGTGCTGCACTGTGGGCCAGAAGTAATGATCTGCTCAACAATAATTCAGCTTCACGGGAAGCTAAAGATGACATTAATCTATTAAAATCCATTTTAAGGAGTTTTAAATAAAGCACACTGTAAAAAAACAAATCTGTAAACAACAACGAAAATCTGGCTGCAAGGGTGTAAGAAAAATAGTGAAAAAAAAGGCAAATATCTTTAAAACGCTGATTTCTTTCTGGGTAAAACACAATAACAGTATAATTTTATGATCACAAATTGTAAAATTCTGAATTATTATTTGTAAAAATTCAGATTTTTGATGTGAACATTATGTACACTTTAAGTCTGTTTTGGCAACATGTCAATTATTACTTTTTTTCTGTGATTTTATGAAATAATGTGTTTCAACAAAACAAGGAAAATATGTCACATAAACATTCAAAAAAAATATTTTCTATTTTACATCATCATCATTTCATTTTCATTTAACATTATTATTTAAATATCTGTACAATATATTTTTGGGCTGTTTTAAATTGCTTGTACAGTAAAACATTATAAAACAGTAAATTTCTATTTTTTAAAGAATAGATTTTAATATAAGTAACACCAGGAATAATATCAGTTAAATAACATTTTTTTTAATTTTTTTTTTTTTTTAAATATAGTAAAACTGGAATTTTACAGTCAAACAAAGCTAAAGAACAAATGACTATTTGTAAAAATATATTTTATTTAAATGGACATTATATACATTTTTGGGTTTTATATATTTTTGGTGATTTTACCAGATATTTCCTGTAATTGAACGAAACAGAGAAAATCTGTAATATATCTGCAAAATAAATATTTTATTGCTGATTTCTTGGTTATTTAAATATAGTTTAGACATCTTAAAGCAACTTATGACTAGTTTCAAAAATAGAGATTTTTGATGGACATTATTTACAGTTTTGATCTGTTTCTTCTTTTACAGCAAAAATGTAAATTAAACATTTTTAAAGTTAATTTATGAGACATTATGTATAATTTAACAAAACAGAACATCTGGCGTGTGTCTGCAAAATAATGACATTTTTATTGCTGATTTCTTGCTTATTTAAATACAGTAAAAACATTGTAGAATAACTTAATATTTATATTTTTCTTCTATTTTAAAACTTATTTTAATAGATATTATGCATAATTTAACAAAACAGGGATAATCGGTGTAATATCTGCGGACCACTTGCCTCGATGCGGCGCCGGGCCTCCTCCACCGGTACCGTGTTGTGGCCCCGGTGCTCCTCCGTCACGCAGTCCTGACAGACGCAGCAGCCGTCGGCGCAGCAGAACAGCTCCAGCGGCCACTTGTGGCTCTCGCAGGTCCGACGCTCGATGTCCCTCAGCGGCTCCACCAGACGGTGGTTCTGGAACTTGGGGTTCTCCAGGTGAGGCCGGAGGTGGGCCTCGCAGTACGACACCAGGCAGGTGAGGCAGGACTTCTGGGCCCTGCAGGGGCTCTCGATGCAGGAGTCGCACACCACATCATCGGGGCCCAGCGGCTCCTCCTTCACCTCCTCTTCTTTGGGCTCCTCGTCCTCCTTCTTGTCGTCCTCGGACTCCTTCAGGTCTTCTTGGATCTTGGTCTCCTCGGCCGCCTTCGGGTCCTGGTTCTGCTTCTCTTTGCTGCTGATCACAGGGGCCTCGGGGGCCTCGGGGGCCTCGGGGGCCCCGTTCTGTTTCTTCACACACTCTGGACATCCCTTGTCTCCGTCGACTCCGCTCAGCTCACCTGAGCAGCTGCCGCACAGCTGTTTGGATTTGGGAGCTGCTTCCTCTGCTGCTGTATCTGCCATGATTCCTCTGCAAACCGCTGCTGCGTCTGAGTGCCGGCAGTTCCTGGATCCCACTGAAGAGCCTGCGAAGCCACACCTAGATGCTGTGGACGTCAGCTCACAGTTTCAGCCGCCCGCCCCTTCAGCAGTGCAACACCCCCGCACACAATCAGACACGAAGCCGCAGGGTGGAGCTCCGGCGCTGAGCACAACACTGAGGTGTAGGGTTGCACTCCCTCACAGGCTCTGTGTTTAAACATGAACTGAAACTTACAAGTTCTGCAATCAGTAAACAGCATCTCGCCTGTTTGTACTCACCCTCTGATGAAGTCAGCGCCTGCATTGTTCCTCCGAATGATCAGACAGTCCAGATAGAGACTGAGGAAGTCATTCCTGCAGCCTTTTGTCTGCTCACCTGCTTCCTATCTCACATGCAAATAAGTGGAAAGTCCAGAACAAAATGCAAACAGGGGCTGGATCGGGCCTGAGAGCAGAAGCTGCCACCAAGCGTCCACAGATTCACTCTGATCTGGACAAAAGGTTCTTCCCCAAAAATGAAAAAAAAAAACACTGAACTGACATTTGGTTGCATGTTTGTGAGGTCACATGACACATCACATGAATCATGAGCCAATCAGATCTGACCTCACTGCTCTTAGTGGTCAAATAAACTTTGCAATTTGTCTGTCACGTTCTCTGCAACAGTAAAAACATTCATCTATTGGTGGGAAAGCTTTAAGAAAAGCAATCAGAAGAAGGGAAATTATGAGACAAGAGGCAAAATGTGAGGAAACTATTGAGTGTACAGCAGAGAAAGAACAGAACAAACTAATGAGGGTGGCACCTCCCCTATAAACACAGTTTGGCTCCGACACCGTGAGCTGTAAACTTTATCAAACTGCCTCCATTGTTTTTGTGTTTCCATGCACTGTTGTGTGACATCATGAGACGAGTGTACGGCTGCAAACAGTGACCGTCTGTTTACTCTATGTGGTAACTTATGGACTCTTCAGCGTGTAAACAGAATGCTCTTTAACATTTAACACACTGAGCCCAAGCTAACGTATTCTGATCTGTTTTTGTGACGAAGCAGCAGAAATCTAAACGACGCTGAGTCACAGAAAACCAGAAATACTAGAAAGCAGATCCGGCTGCGTCGTTTCGGGGATCTGGTTTGACTATATTTGTCATTTGGGATCAAAACTCGGCTGTTTTGACGCAGAATTTCGAGCATTTCATGTTTTCAGGCCACAAAAAAACACCTCACATGTGAAGGCCTTCAGGGATCAGTATCACTAGAAATAAAACTCCTACAGTCGTGATATTCGTTGAGGACGCAGACAGAATAGTTCTCAGCAGATTTAATATTCAAATGGATCCAGCAGAGGACTAATTATTAATCACTGGCCCTTAAAAATGAGGAAAAAAATGTGCAAAATTTTCAAACAACAGTCGTATGGGGCCACAGAAAGTTCCTCTAAGTGTACATATATAAGGATAGATCCGAATTTTCTACTAAAAATTCACCAACTTTTGATTCTCTAACATCAGCAGGATTTAATGTGAGGCAGGTTTGGTGAGACAAGGTTCCAGTTTTCTTTCATTCTGACAAAACGTGACTCGTTCAAAGAGGTTTACGATGAGAAGGCAACACGAACTGGACACTAAAACCACCAGAGACATGCAAATAAACGACGCATAATGACTCTTTTGCATTTTCCTCTGCTGCCTTCAGAGCGGCGCTGATCTCCTGCTTCACTTTTCTCGGCGTCGTCACGTCGCGTTTCGTGAGATTTATTGTGATGTCTGTTGAATAATCATCGGCTTCTCTGTTCAGAGTGTCTGCATCGAGAGAAATAAGCCGCATGCGTTGTTAAATCTCAACGTGAAGACAGTATGTTGGGAGCAGCGTGTGACTTATCTAACAACAACAAATAGACCCCATGGACACCGGTTCTACCAGAGTCCACATCAACATCTAGTCAATACAACAAACAAAGTGGAGTCTTATCTTGCCATACTTGCCACAGATCAATTCTGTTGATGTTAGACGCTTCAAAAGTTGGTGAAACGTCGACCAAAGACTGTATTTTTAGTAGGAAATATGGATCCACCCATATATATGTACACTTATAGGAACTTATTGAGGCCACAACACCACCATTCATTGCAAATTTTTTCCACTTTCAAGGACCAATAATTAAGAATTTGTCTTCTGCAGGAGCCGATCAATCGTTTGGATCAATGACAAACTATTCTGTCTGTGTCTTCATGAGATTTTATGGCTGTGGGAGTTTTGTTTCTGGAGACACTGATGCCTTAAAATGGCCTCTCAGGGTGAAAATACAAAGATGCAGAAGTCTGAAAACAACATAAACTCGTACAATTCAAGTTTTGGCTCCAAAATAATAAATAAGCAAAGTCAATATTTCTTGAATTCTGTCTGGATTGACTCTGAACTTAAAGCTGCGCTGATCAATGTTTCTATAAACGTGGATAAAATGACTATTTGTGATGTGAAAGCTGTCATTTTTCTCCCTTCAGCTCTAGAGAGCGTTTTAGCTTCTTTCAGCTCTTTGTTTTGGTCAAACTGCAGCATTACTGTTTCCTCAAACCGCTTCCAGATGCAGCAGACGGATGTTTTAGGAGAGAAAACGCTCATAAAAATGACGGAACAAAATGTTCTGAGCATCAAAACGCAGACAAACGCAGGTAGTGACTTCCTGGTGGGCACTGTGGAGCATTCAGGAGCTAAAAAGACAGATTTTATTCCCAGGAAATTAAAACAAGAGCAAGAAAGAGAGTAAATATTTGACTTAAATTTACCACGAGGCCAGACACACAAGTGTAACTGTGTTTATGGCTTCTGCTGCCCCCAAGTGGCTAAAAAAATCTATTTATGCTGCTTTAAATATCGTATTTCACCCCCAAAAAAAGGTGAAATAATGCGTTTATCGACGTGGAACAAGTGGAGTTTTCCACCAATATTAAAGGTGTTACATAAATACATCGATATATCGGAATAAAAGGCAATAAAACAAGATTGAAATCATTAAATCCACGTTAAAATTTATTCCCAGACAGAAAATAAAAACACACCGAGACACATTCATGTCCATAAGGTTTGCAGCTACAGATGTTCAGGAAATTGCATTGATGAAAACAAGTGTGTGAGTGCAGGACAGCCGAGGCCGGTCTCATGAGGCGGCGAGACTACGACTGATCGTTGTGCTTTTTATTCTGTTTGTTTCACTCAGGCTTCTGTTTTCTGGACCATCAACCATCACTTTGACTAAATCCTGATGTGTTTTTATCAGTTTTTTTCCATCCTGCAGCAGAGTTTTACTGTAAAAATGCTGAATTTAATTGGAATCAACTGAGGTTTACTTATTAATTTAAGTCGACTGTTCATTTAAACGGAGTCGTTAAGCTCAGCCCACATTAGAACCTCTCCAGAGATTTTTCTTCTTCTTCTTTGTGGCTTTTATTTTTTCTCTAGTTCTTCTGATAACGGTGAAGGTCACATTTATAATATCACAAAGTTTCCAGCAGCCGTCTCACATCCTGACTGCTACGGTGGCCCCCGATGGACAAAACACACCAGGTTAAAACTGCAAACACGAAACGAATCTAGAAACACAAAGAAACCCTCTGAACCCAAAAACCTGCTCTTTGAATTTGAAAATCATTAAAAGGACATTTATTAGACCCAGAATTTGTAAAAACAGACAGAATCGTAACTCCTGCGACGCGCAATTTAGCTTTGATTCTGGTTTTTATTTATATCTGCACGTACAAGACCTCCAAGTCCGCAGAGACGCTTTCTGTCCAATAAAAACTTAATCCGACAGCAAACATCACAGGATGCAGTAAATCACCACGAGGCCAAATGTGCTTAAAGGTCGTTGGTGTAAAAACAGCTGGAGAACGAGTAGCTTTTATGTCTTCAGAGAGAAATGAAACAACAGTACGGATGTTATGCAGAGTGAAATAAAGCCTGTAAATGATGAGGCCTCAAAACAGAATAAAATGTGATATAATAAATACATCAGCCGTCTGTAGCAGCACTCTGGTATGAACTGTGTCCACTCTGGGTTTCTCTTTATAATCATCATTATAGTTGTTGTTGTTATTATTGCTGTTGTCATCGTTACAATTGTTGTTATTTGAAAGAAAAATTAAGCATATAAAGGACTGATTTTTTCTTTTTTTAATTTATATTATTTTACACATTTTTCCTGTTTTGTTAAACTACAGATAATATCGTGTAAAAACCGGAATAAAAAGTATTAATTATGTCAGTGATTTCTGTGAAAAATGTTATTATTATTATTGGTGTTGTGCTAAGTTGTTATTTCAGCTGTTGTTGTTGTTGTTGTTGTTGTTGTTGTTGTTGTTTCTGCTTTTAGTTTTATTTTAGTATTTTTTTGTGCTGCTGCTGTTTTGGCTCAACGTGTTTGGTTCACCAGACGAAATTTTTAAAAATGAAAATAAAAAGACTGAATAAAAATTTTCATTTTAAAGGTAGAACCACAGAAACATACATTTTATGCTATTTTTCATTGTAATAATTTTCCTTTAATCTGTAATAAATCACTTCACCAATTAAAGCAACTTAACATATTAAAATCATTGATTTAAGCCTAAAAAATATCTGCACACTAGTTTAGTTATTTCTCATATAGTTTACAGTGTATGCTGCTTTTTTTATATATATTTTTGAAGCTGCAGAGAATAAATCAGCATCTTATCAGTGCGAGGCCTTGAGGTTTTTCTTGCTGCAGGTGAATATTAAACCATCTTTGTCCGTCAGAAGCAGCTGTTGGATTTGCGTCATGAGACAGACCCCAGGTCAGTTCAATCAACACAGCTCCCAACAATCACAGTCAGCTTTTGGTTTGTCTTTGTGTTAAATCATCTCTAGCAGTGCAGGATATTCATCGAGCTACTTTAATACTTTACAGAATCAGTCACGAGTGGTTAATTCATCTCCTAACGTTGGACTAAACACTGATTCAGAGTCTGTTTGTTTGTGTTCGAGGCTCAAACCTGAACACCGGACGCGTCAGAAGAAACGTTTGTGCTTCAGAGTCCGACACAGTTTCTTCCTCCGTCACTGGACGCCGACCAGCTCCGTGATGGGCGGAGCGAACACCATCAGCTCCTGGTACCGGTCGAAGAAGAGCTGCAGCCTCGACAGGTAGCCGTCCTCCTGGTAGGGCAGCTGCTTCTCAGTCAGGTACTTGGACACGACCGGCTTCACCTGGACGACAGAAACACACACAGCGGGTGTAAAAGCTAACCAGCCTGACGGGGTTTCAGGAAACAACACAGGCAGCAACAACAGCGTCTAAATGAGGAAGCTGGTGGTTATCTGGTGCCACGATGATTAGCAGAAACTGTATTTTTATAGCAACTCAGAACTGGAGGTGCTGTACGATAATAAAACAATAAAAAAGAGCAATAACATCAGAGGAGGAATAAAATGTTCAATAGATGCCTGCCTGGACATAAATGAGGCTAATGAAAGTAACTCACTGAGCTCAGCGACACTGTAAATAAAACAAAACTAAATCAACAAAGTGGATCTAAAACAGCTGTTCTACTTTAAAACGATATATAAAGAAGCAAAAGGACATTATTTAGCAGATGCTGTAAAACTGTACATTTACACTCTGTTTGTAAAATCACTGATGTTTGATGCAGACATTATTGACAGTTCTGACCACTTGTATTTTACAGTCAACAAGTAAATCAACACTTTCTTTTTCTCAGATTTTACACAGATGTTGTTTTCACGCAGGTAAACATCTTTTATTAAACTTTCCTTGATAAAAGCCCACAAATATGCTCGTGTAAAATTAAGGCAAGAAACTCAATTTTAAATCAAAAAATAACTATATTTTTATGTTATTTCACATTATTTGGGGGCGTCTGAGCTGATAAAATATGACCCTCTTTTTATTTTTAAGCTGTATTTTTCAGAGTGACGTTACTGGCATCCCAAAGCTGCTGAGTTAACAGCAAAAGTTAAAGTTTGTTACCTTTCTAACCGTTTTATGCGTTTACTTTTTAATCTGCACATTTCACACATATTTAAACGTTCCATTGGGAATATAAACGACTAGTTCAATCAGTCTAATATATAATTTTAATAATAGTGTGCTGCTGACCTCAACACGTGGACAAAGATCCTGAGCGTGGAGGATGAGTGACCGGAGAGAAATCCTGTTGGTCTTTTCATACTTTCATTATTATTATGAAATATTTACAGGAAACAGTTTCAGAAAAAATGCTCAGAAAGTGGCACAAATGAACACAACCTGACCTCAAACACTGACTCCAGCTTTATGTCAGACTCTTAAATAACTGACCTTCAGCTCTTAAAAAGCTCAGAAGATTTAAAATTTAACTGGAAAACTCAAATAAACTCTATTATTATCAATACGATCACATTCATGTCTGTTTGTAGTAAACACTTGCTTAGTGCACTTTTTGCTTTATTAATCAGTAAATGCTGTTTTTTCACACCACTGGGAATTCTGGCTGCTCTTCACGACCGCAGTGGGACATAAATAAACGATTCACTCATTATCTGCGGCTCTGTGGTGTTTACATGAGAAGCTGAACTGACATCAGGCTGCTGCATTCTTTCCTTCCCGCCCAGCGGCTCTTGAAACTATGTGGAAACCGACGACACGAAGCGATTTATGGCCCGAACTCGTGGAAGTCTCACCTTCAGACACATGTTGTCGGACAGGAAGGGGAAGAGGTGATGCTCCACGTGGCAGTTGATGAGCGAGTGTCCGAACATCCAGTCCAGCAGCGGGTTACGAGGAAGGTTCAGGACTCCGTGGGTCATCTGGTAGATCCTCTTCGGACGGCGCGTCGGAGAAAACATCGGCAGACCGATGTGCTGCAAACACAAGGAGGTTTGTTAAGTCTCTGTTGGATGGACACGACAACAACGCCCTGGTCAGAGGGTTTGTTTCATGTTTATGAGTTGAGACGTGTGGAAAATACTCTGCAGTGGCTCAACAAATTAGAAAAATCTAAATTATATTTAATTAAAAAAAAACACCTCCACAGAATTGTGCTGAGGGAAAATTAAAAGTCTAAATATTATGATGACAGTTTTCAGTGAATTTATTTTTCCATGAAGCCTCCAGCTGCACGGTCCAGTGCAGAAGTTTAAAAACACACATTATAATAAAACGTGCAGGAACAGAAGAGGAACTAGTCAGCTCAAAGTAATCGATATAAACAAA